CGTAATAACGATATTCAGGGAAATATATGAAATACAGCTCAGAAATATCTTTGCCAAATTATATCAAGATCGGTTTAGATTATATATATCTTTATCCGATTTAAAATTAATTGTGCACCAAATGGGCAATACAAGTCCGAATTTAAAAGATACAAATGCTTCGGCATATTAGTCCTTTGAACTTTAAATTATAATTATAATCATAGCGTGTATGATTGAATTCTCCCACAAAAACATTTAATTGTTATGCGGAACTCTACTAAATTAGCAAAGTGGTGTAGGGTATCATAAAGTCAGCCTCGCCCGACTTTAAGGCTTCCTTTAATGGTTTTAGCTTCGAAATATGTTCTGTTGATTACTTCAAGGTTTGTTGCAACTTGTGCTAAATATAAGTAATAAATGTAACAGAATTTGGAATTTTTCATCGGATTTCTTACGTTTGTACTCTCCCTACATTGCCGTCTTCATACCATTTCCTAATAAGAAAATAAAAAACAAGTGTTATTCAACTGAAGGTGTGTTTGTGCAAACCCCCTTTGCCACTAACTATCTCCATATACATAAAATATAAGAACCTATATTAAAAAAACTAAATTCCCCATAAATATTAAAGATACGACAATGATGGTTGGGAAACCTGCAGGCTTTAGAGCAATGTTTAGAAAAGAAGACAAAAGCGAATAGAAAAATTCCTATGCACAAAAAAACACTGAATGTCTTGCCATAAATGAGAGCATAATTATAACAACAACCGGAAACGCATATCCGTTAAAGGGTGGGCGTAAAACCCTCCCATGAATGTTGTTACTGCTGCGGCTGCTTGTAAGCAACCATCCTGCCATCCCACACTGGTCCATTGGCAGTAAAACCTTCTGCTGCTTAAGAAAAACTGAAGGTAACAGCATTAAGTAACGCATAATCAGAGCCCCGTTAAAACTGATGACGTAAAAATGGTGGGTTTAATCGAATTATGGTTATCATCCGTTTTAAAAGGTAATTGTAAGCTGTAGTCATGGAGCAGGATTGGTTGATAGCGATGAGATTATTTTTGTACTTTATGGATATCATTTAGTAATGGAAAATGAAAAAAGTTAGAACTGTTGCAGATATATACATATAACATTCTGTTAACGTATATAGACTTACCATGAACGATAAAAAGGCATGATGTTTCTTAAGTGCTAAATCCACATTTTTCGGATGATTAAAAATCCACGAATTTTTTGTCAGAAAGCAATGTTGTTACCAGAAGGAGTGGAATGATATTGCCCATTTCCGAACTTGATTTAAGTTTGGTCATAATATTACCATGTACCATATTGGGACCAAATCGGATACCTCCTTCAAAAGCTATCGTGCGCACCAGCCAGAAAGACAGATTTAGTCCAAAAATATGAGGCATGTTTTGCTCATAGGGTGTAAAAAATATGTGTGGGAGCTATACACATTCCAATTTTAAAGGCTCTATCTATAACTGATCGATAAATAGGTACATAAAAAAACCCATACATACTGGGTGCGATAAAAAAAAAAAAAACTGCAACCAATTACAGACTGCTGTCATTTCTAAGCCACTCGTCCGACAGCTGTTAAAATTAGTCATGTGACGGCTCATTATATTGTTTATAAGCGTACAGAAGCATTTTGGTGAGAATTTACCAGAAAAAAAGTTATTAGTGATGGAACTTAAGCGTGATAGTGTGATTTCTTTATAGTTGGCTGGAATCGAAACCCGCGTCGCAGTGGCCGAAAAATGGCTCGTGAGCTGAACAATATTATATTCGTCAAATATTAAAATATTAGCTCGGGGCAAAGCCATTGAAATTTCAACAAGTGCAAGAACTTACACCACAACAGGATGAAAATAGACCCAAAAGAGCTGCTTGGCTTGGCCAAAAGTGGTGAACTACCGAATTTGATTTTCTCCGATGAGGAACGAATGTTCAGCAGATTGTAAACAAATAAAATGGTCGTGTTTACTTGCCAAAGAGGTCAGCTGAAAATGTGTACCTTCGGTTGGCCACCAGAACTCAAGCGGCGGCCATGGTGATGGTGTAGGCCGCCATAACAGCCAATGGTCGCTCTTCGCTCGTACTAATCGAAAATATTCTGGAGGGTGTATTAAAGCCTTGGGCACGCGAACATTTTAGCGAAGACCTTGGACATTCCAACAGGACTCAGCATCATCGCACTTAGCACGCACCACCCAAGAATGGTTACAAAATAGGGTTCCTCTCTTCATTTCCAGCGCACAATGGCCATCAAAATCTCCGGATACCAATCCGTTGGACTATTGTGTCTGGAATATTTTGGAAAGCAAGATTGACACTAAAAAATACCAAAGTGACGATCACCTCAAGCAAGCGCTTCGCCGGGATTGGGCCAAAATACCGCAGAGCAACATTCGGGCAGCATGTGACGGTTTCATTGGCCGATTGAAGGCCACAATTCGTGCCAAAGGTTACCAATTTGAAGAAATCTAAACATATTCGAAAATTTTATGCTATTTCCGACGTTTAATAAAATTAAAAAAAAGAAATTATGGCGTTTGACTTTGTTGCAGTTTTTTAGCTCACCCTCTACTTTACACCCTGAAAGAGTATTGTCTATCCAGGTCTAACATATCGTATATCCCCCATATAACGGTACCTCCCAATATTCGATATTTCGATGGTTTTAGCTTCAATTGTCAATGGAATTGTCTGAGAATCCACACCAGAAGTTAATTCTGATCACCTTACCCCCCGGAAGAGAATTGCCTAAATAAGTCTACGGTATCGTATAGCCCCCATACAACGGTATCCCCCGATATTCGGTATTTTGATGTTTTAGGAACATTATTCATCTGAATTGTTTCAAATTTCGTAGATAGGGTTCGTAATGGATACCACAGACTATGATAAAAAATTGCTCAAGCTGGTCCAGGTCTTCGTATAGGTCACATATATGGGTACCTCCCTATATTCAGTATTTTGATTATTTATGATACAATATTCCCCGAAATTATTTGAAATTTCGTATTTGTAGTTCCTAATAGGTACTATAGCCTGTGACATGAAATTCTCTATGCAGGTCTAGCAGGGCCCCCATATAACGGTAACTCCATATATTCCGCATGTTGATGATTTTCACCGGATTTTTTTTTTTTTGTTTCATATTTGCATGACCTATGACAAAGGTTGCATATGCAGGCCCACATCAACGTATAGACCCCAATATAAAGGCGACTACCTATTTTGACTTTGACAGATTTTTTAAGGGATTTTATTTATTTATTTATTATACCCTACAACACTATGTGTTGTGGGTATTATAAGTTTGATTGGGCCAAAAATTATGTAACACCTCAAAATATTGATTTCCCACATAGGAAAGTATGTATAGATCTTCCTACATCGCCGAGCTGAGTTGATCTTGCTATGTATGTCCGTCTGTTCATGTTAATTTGTAATCACTCTACAGGTCGCAAATATGGCCCGATCATATAATATATAGGGTTTGATATGGACCAAAAAATGAAGACCAATCGACGCGGAAGTTAGCATGGGGCTAGAGCTTAGGCTGGGCAGAAGCCTTCCAATTTTGATGATCATCGGGTAATATTTAGTGGGTGAAATAGACCTTAACATTTTTGTAAAATAATAGTCAAATATTCCATTAAACAGCGAATATTTTTAATCCCGGCGAAATCACAAATAGACGAAAACTACAATTCTTACAGTTACGTAGATGCCGATAGTAAATATATCGGATATATATAGCGAAATATATGCAATGTGTATTTACAAAGGAAGGGGATGTTAGCTAGAATGCTTATATCTCAACATTGGCTGGACCGATATTGAAAAAAATTGTCAATTCAGAATGCCCTTTTGTTATAAATGAATAAAATCTAAAAAATCAAGGTTAGGCTCAGAAGGGTTAGGCCTATTGTTTACAAAGATGTCCGCAATATATTTGGGTGTTTAAATGGACCAAAAACAGAAAAAAATTAACTGATCACACAATTGAAGTCAATCGACACGCTTCAAAAGAGAGTTATGGACAGGGAAGAATCGTAGAATTTTGGATGACTACTGGATTATATTTAGCTATAAAATGCACAACAACTAACAGCACGACGGAGTGTTTAAATATTGGACAAATGCCTCTGTTCATAATGCTAAGGGTAATATCTGGGCAGTGCTCCGTGACATAATTTCAAAAGCGAAATCTTTGGACATAAGAGGACTTCAACCATGTTGTGGTGTTGTAGGGTATCACATGGTCGGTCCACACGATTATAGCCTTTGCTTACTTGTTTATTTTATTATTATCATAATTTTTATTTTTTTTTTTTATTTATTTATTTATTTTTTTTTTTTTGAATACGCCTTTGGTTAAATTATGTGAATACTGGAAAAAGTTGATGATTTTTACACGTAAAGTAACAAAGCTAATGTCTTATTTGAGGGCAAATCGCTAACAAATGGTTCTAAGTAGACTAAAAGCGGTAAGACTTCCCCGTGTTATTTTTTCACATCATATAAAAATTCCCAATTTTTCGAATATTGCTTGATTTTTTTAGCTATATTTTCAACATTCAACCTTAAATATTTTCCGAAAAATCACCATAAAATTCCATTTTTAAAAATTGTTTAAAATTTAATCTCTTCGCAAACAAAATTGAAACAAAATCACTCTTCCATTATCCAATTATTTATTGTTAATTATAAAACATAATAATTGATGTCTGACAAAATATTTTGTCATTGTACTCTACAACAACAATATTTTTTTTATTTTTTTTATTTTGAAAAATTCAATTCCTCCCCAAATTGATGATGGCCAGCCAGCATGCTAGCATGTGTGTGTGTGTGTGTGTGTCTGTAATGGAGTTAGTGTATTGGCTCAATCACAAACTGTGATTGTCGAACATGGCCTGAATATTAATGCGACATCATTTGCAGCATTGGTAGGTTAGTTGGTCGGTTGGTTGGCTGCTTGCCACTACTACTTACCCGTTGGACTTGGTGTTAAGGACATCATGTCGAAGCGTATATTCCGTGGCTCAAATTGATAATCTTTAAAGAATGTTAATTTCGCACCACGTGTCTTATTCAGACCACTAACCGCTGTGTGGATGGCCCGCAGATATTCACGTTTGCCGAAATTCGTATGGGGCGCAATGAGACCGATATAAAGTTGTTCCTTATTGGCCGACGATGATTTACTTGTGCCACCGGCCAAACGCAGCGCTTGCGATGAAGGGCAGAGAAAAATTAGCAGCATGGTGGCGAAACAGAAGAGTGTTAGACAGCTGGGTGATGAGAGAACAGTGGGTGATGGAGTGCCAGACAGGTGCCATGATTTTTTTGTCGAAGAGGAGTTGAGGGCAATTGGAGTTTTCCGTTTATGATGATGACTGGCGGTGTTATTTGACGGCATTGTGCGATTGACAGTTGTGGGGGACGTGGTGGTGGTGGTGGTTGCGGGGAGAGTTCCTGCTACCATAACAGCTGTAATTGTCTTTAGAAATCTTCTCAGCAGCAGCAGTAATGAGGATAGCCTTGAAAATTTACTGCAGCTGCTGCTTCTTTGTTTGGGCAATTGAAGATGTTTATATTGCTTTTGTTGCTGTTGTTCCTGGTGGTGTTGGAGTTGTAGGTTGTCAAGGTGTTGCCTCTGACATTGCTGGTGGGAAAAATTACTCTTGGAGGTGTTAATGGTGGTTGCTGCCGGCACAGATTTTGATGAGACTTGGTTTGACGTTTTTCGGTTTGCCTTCGCAGTAGTGGTGGTGGTGGAGGTGGTGTTTATCGTTGTTGTTGCTGCTGCTGCTGTTGTTGTTGTTCGTGGTAATGGTGACTCTTTTACGGAATCCTCTTTGAGATTAGTGTTACTACCATTGACAACATTTACCGCCAACAGAGATGACTTTGCCAACGACGGCTGTAAATTAAAGTTACCAACTTGTGGCGGGGTTTGATCCAGTGTTTCTTGCCGACATCGTTGCTGTTGCCAAAGCAAGGTGTTGTCGTACTTTTGTTGTCCTTGGCACTTCTGCTGGCTTGTTGGCTTTGCAGGATTTATTAAACAGGCAGTGTTTCTAATCACTTTGGACGATTTGCCAGAACTGCTGGCTGCGGCCTCGTGGCAAATGTCAGTTTTTCGCTTGGTTTTCCAACGCTCATAAGTTATTGTTGCCGTTGCTGTGTTTGTTGTTGTTGTTGTTGGCTTTGTCATTGTGTCATTTTGAAAATTATCAATTTTGAGATCTTCCAAATCTCCCGAGTGATTATTACCACCGTCATGCACCTGGGCACAGTCTGCGGGCATATTCTTCCTGAGTTTAGCTGCTAATGGATGTTGCTGTGGGGTAGGGGATTGGCGCTGTCGTTTGACACTCCTGTCGTGTTTAAAGTCAATTGATGTACTCGTTAAGCCGGTTTTGTTTAAAACCAGAGAAAATCCTTTCATTTTTGTTTTGTTTTTCTTTTTTTTTCGGGTTTTCTGTTGTTTTCCCCCCTTCAATGCCAACTTAATGTCCAAACACCCGCTTGTGTTTCGTTTTCGGTGTTCGTGGCTAAATGTTCATTTTGCCAGGATTTGTGTTTTTATGGGCGAGGGCATTAGCCAGAAAAGTTGTTGGCATCCAAATGGTTATCAACGTCAAATCGTTATATGACTTCAAATATTAATGCTAAGAATGTTGTGTTGAGTTACTTTCTTCTTCTTTTTTCCTTTTTGTGTCACAAATTTTCGTTGGGTTGTCTTTGTGTTGCTCTCTTTCGCTCTGTCACAATCTCCTGCTATTTTAGTTTAGATGACTTTGACTGTGTGACTTTTTGTGAAACCACAGGACATTTTGCCAAAACGAACTTAAGCCCCCAGTAAATGTTGGCCCAGTGGTGTTGGCATGAATGCTAGTGGCCCACATGCAGATTGGCAACAGTGACAAAAGTTGAATGCGATTGAAGACAGAACGAGGTCCTCAGCATGCTTGAACTATGACGACTTGATTTGTGAAGATTGTTCCATGGGAAGTTTATTTTGTAGGTTCCTCTTTTTAAGACCTAAAATAAAAAAGAAATACGCATATTAATGCAATACGTATCAAGTAGAAGGAAAATATTAGTAAATTTCCTGAAAAATATTGAATATTGTTAAAAAAAAAATAATAAGAACGTCTTTTAAAATGTACAAGATTCAAGATCCCTTGCACTTATCTGTTTTTTTTTCTTCTCATACAAATTCGCCATTTTCGCAAAAGTCCTTAAAATATTTTCCAAAAATGTCCAACATTCCGGCAAGAAGTATCAACAACATAAAAAAATCCAAATTTTGTGGTTGAGCTCCTTACAAAATCCAGGATTCTTGGACATGAAATCCTCAATTTTTTTCAATAATTCCTTAGATTATTTTTTTACAAAATCACAGATTCTTAAGTAAGAAGAAATAACTTTTTATACCCTACAAAACTATGTGTTGGGGGTATTATAAGTTTGATTGGGCCAAAAATTATGTAACACCTCGAAATATTGGTTTCCCACATAGGAAAGTATATATGGATCTTCCTATCTCGCCGAGATGAGTCGATCTAGCTATGTATGTCCGTCCGTCCATCTGTCCGTCTGTCCATGTTAATTTGTAATCAAGCTACAGGTAGCAATTATGAACCGATCCTCACGAAATTGAAAATGGAGTTGGGGTTATGGTCAGAATAGAACCCTATTGTTTTTGGAGATGATCTCACGATATTTAGGGGTTGAAATGGACCAAAAACAAAAAAAATTTCCTGATTTTGCAGTTGTTCTCTAGGTAACAATTATGAACCAATCAGGCGAAAATTTATATGGAGATAGAGGTTAGGAGTGTGCAGAAACCTACCAATTTGGGCGGCCATCGGACAATAATTAGCGGGTAAAATAGACCCTAACTTTTATGAAAAAAATAGGAAAATTTCCACTAAACCGCTAATATTTTCAACCTCAGCCAAATCACAAGTACATTAAAAGATCACGTTTGAAAATCTTAGAAAATCGCGGAAAAATTAAAAAAGTGAATATTTTTTGTTCCATTTTTTTCAATTCTTGTCATATTTTTTATCGCATGCGATTTTTTCAATTTGACTTACAATTTCGAATTGTAAATTTTCTAAATGTTTACACCCTTCAACACCACGTTTTGAGGGAATTATATGCATGTCGCAATTATCGTCCGATCTTCACGAAATTTGGCATGGGGGTAGGGGTAGGGTCAGAATTAACTCTTATTGTTCTTAAGATGTACATTTAGAGGTACAAATGGACTAAAAAAAATATATTTTTCTAATTTTGTAGTCGCTCTATAGGCCACAATTGAAACTAATCGACACGGAATTTCGCATCGGAAGAGAGTTAAGGACAGGGAAGAAGTCTAGCATTTTGGATGGCCATTGAATTACATTTAGCTGTAAAATGGACCACAACTTTCACAACTTTTGCCAAATTCTCCGTTTTCCAGAAAAAAGTAAATCCCGATGGAATTCAAGCGTGATAGTGTGATTTTTTTATATTTGGCTGAAAAACCACAAGTGGCTATCGTTAGAGCACTCCAGCTGTTAAATGTGAATAAATCTTTTGTGTCTCGTACCATCGCTCGTTAACCGTGATGCTGGTAGCGTAACCCGACGTTAAGGAAGTGAACGGACGAAAACAGCGACATCAGCAGAAATGGTTCGAAAAGTAAAGAAGCGACTTGATCGAAACACGCGTCGAAAAATGGCTCGTGAGTTGAACATATTGCAATATTCCATTCGTCAAATATCGGGGTAAAGCCATTCAAATTCCTAAGAGTGCAAGAACTTACACCGCAACAGAAAGAAAATACACTCAAAAGAGCTAAGTAGTTGCTTCGCTTGGCCGAAAGTGGTAAACTGCCGAATTTGGTTTTCTTCGATGAGAAAACATTCGTTGTCCAGCAGTTTGTAAACAAACAAAATTATCGTGTTTACTTGTCAGGGAGGTCAGCTGAAAATATGCACCTTCAGTTGGCCACGAGAACTCAAGCGCCGGTCATGGGCCGCCATAACAGCCGATGGTCGCTCTTCGCTCGTATTAATCGACCGTGGCATCAGAATAAATGACGAATATTATCGCAAAAATATTCTGGTGGGTGTATTAAAGCCATGGGCACGCAAACATTTTGGCTCAGACCTTGGACATTCCAACAGGACTCAGCACCCTCGCACTCAGCACGCGTCACCCAAGAATGGTTACGAAATGAGGTTCCTCGCTTCATTTCCCGCGCACAATGGCCACCAAGATCTCCGGGTACCAGTCCGTTGGACTGTTGTGTCTGGAGTATTTTGGAAAGCAAGGTTGGCACTAAAAAATACCATAGTGTCGATCAGCTCAAGGAAGCGCTTCGCCAGGAATGGGCCAAAATACCGCATAGAAACATTCCGGCAACGTGTGACGGTTTCAAAGGTGACCAATTCGAACAAATCTAAACTTATTGTAAAATTTGATGCTATTACCGACATTTTTTGCTTTCATTTTATAAAATTAAAAAAAAAATAGAAATTAAAAGTCCTCTTCTATTGAGCTTACGATCTCGTCACTTGGGTAAAAAAGTTTTTTGTCATAGGAGTTATTTTAAAATAACTTCTGGGGAGTATATCCCATGCAAAAAAACAAGGGAACTGATGAGGATTGGTGGCTCTTTCCGAAACCTAGGTATTCCCTGCCTTACCCCCTGGGTAAACAGTACCATCGTTCTCCACTAATAAACAAATGTTGTTTTATAAAAATAACAATAATGGGATTAAGCCTGACGATTTTTGCAACAACAAAAAATTAAAAAAAAAATCATCACCCTGTATATATTTAAGCAAACTTGCATTGGCTGAAGGTACACATTTGTGGGCTTTTTTCTTTTATTATGTAAATTTTTCGAAAAATATAATACTTTCCAAAATTTAAGAAAACCGAATTTTATGTGTTTGTTTCTCTTTCGAGACGAGCTTAATGATCTGAAATTTGCGAATTTTAGTTTTTTTTTCTACAAAAAAAAACATTTTTTGAAAGGAGGTCTTACAAAATCCATGAATTTTGGACCATGAAACCTAAAATTTTTCTAAGAGATCCTAAGATTTGTTTCTTACATAATCCACGAGTTTTGAACAAGGACTTTTGGAAGAAGTCAAGAAATTATAAATATTTTTTCTCACAAATCTAACGGAGGTTTCCTTACAAAATCCATGATTCTTGCAAGGAATCTTTAAATTTTATATCAATGAGTCCCTAATGTATTTTCTATAAAATTCCCAAGAAATCCTCCAAAATTTTTTCATGAAGTCCTTAAAGTGGGTTTCTTACAAAGTCAAGAATTTTTGGGACATGATATCTTTATATGTTTTTTTACAGATTCCAAAGTAAAACCAGTAAAGAAAGTCTTAAAGTCGGGCGGGGCCGACTTCATGATACCCTACGCCACTTTGCTAATTTAGTAGAGCTCCACATAACAATTAAAAGTTTTTATGGGAGAATTCAATCATACACACTATGATTGTAAGTATAATTTAAAGTTCAAAGGACTAAATATGCCGAAGCATTTGTATCTTTTAAATTCGGACTTGTGTTGCCATTTGGTACACAATTAATTTGAAATCGGATTAAAGTATATATCGGAGCTATATCCAAATCGGAACCGATCTCGATAAAATTTGGCAAAGATATTTCTGAGCTCTATTTGATATATTTCCTTGAATATCGTTGTTGCGGAGTGCATATTACGGTTGTGGGTAACAAATATAACAAATCGGATGAATAATATATATGGAAGCTATAGCTATATCTGAACCGATCATCACCAAATTTGACATACTAACTTCTAGACTCAATTCAGTCGTAAGTGCCAAATTCTGTCCCATTTAGACAAATATTAGACGTTTGGTGCACAATAAAAGGTAAATCGGACGAAGTTATAAATGGGAGCTATATCCAAATCTGAACCGATCTCGATAAAATTTAGCAAATGTATTTCTGAGCTGTATTTGATATATTTCCTCAAATATTGTTGTTGCAGAGTGCATATTACGACTGCGGAGGGCAAAAATAACAAATCGGATGAACAATATATATGGGAGCTATAGCTATATCTGAACCGATTTCGATCAAATTTGGCATACTTATTTTCAGGCCTAATTTGGCGGTATATGCAAAATTCCATACAAATCAGGCTGATATTACACGTTTGGTGCACAATAAAAGGCAAATCGGACGAAGATATATATGGGAGCTATATCTAAATTTTGACCGATTATCTCCAATTTCAATAGGGTTCGTCCTTGAACCAAACAAATGATATGTGTAAAATTTTATCTGGATCGGGCAATAAATGCGACCTGTACTTTGTTTACAAAAATACATGGACAGACGGACAGACAGACGGACGGACAGACGGACGGACGGACATGCATAAATCGACTCAGAATGTGATTCTATGCAGATCATCAAAAGGAACTATGGGTCTATCTCGTTTCCTTTTGCCTGTTACAAACAAATGCACAAAGACATAATACCCTGACCACCTTGTGGTGTAGGGTATAAAAATAACAATAATCAATATATTATTTTACCTTTCTTATCTATAGTACGGTGTTTCAATAACATCTATCATAAATTTGTTTGTCAGAGGCAAGCCTATATACAGAAAATCAATAGCATTGGTAAAATATTCCGTACCTATTGGTACTTTTCAGACCCTTCATGTTCGAATTTATGAAAAAATTTCAAAAAGTCATTAAAGTTAGAAAACTTATCATTTTATATAGAGGATCACTTTAAAGAATTTTCAACACATGTTCCATCGAAATTGGATATTTTTCAGAACTTCGTTGGGTATTATTCTGAATAGGAAACTCTCAGATATATTTATGATCTTAAATAGTATTTAGATCAGAAATCATCTAATTCTGCATGAAGGTCGTTATTGATGCAGGACATTTTTGACTCTCGAGAACATTCTGAATATCAAAGTATTGGGGTTTTGATTGTTCTATACACGTT